ACAATGATCCCCCAATATAATGGGCCAACTTCATACCCCTCCATAATGGTACCCTAGTATCACCCCCCTCCCCAATATAATGACATACCCCACCATAATATCCCCCAGTATTACCCCTCCACCACAATGGTGCCCCAGTATTATTCCCCTCAATATAGTTACACCCCACCACAATATTAGTCCCCGGTATTGCTCCTCTTCACCATAATACAGCCTAGTATCTGCCCCCCACCACCATATTGGTCCCCTAGTATTACCCCCATTGTTATGGCCCCCAGTATTGCTCCCCCCTCTCACCGTCTCCTTGTCCATGAGCAGAACCTTCATCCCCGGCCCGCTGTCCTCTATCATCTTGGACACATACTGCTTCACTGCCAACACCACGTTCATGGTTGCTCTTCTCTGCCCCGAAGACTCCCCGTCTACTGCCACCGACACTTCCGGGATCAACACCGTCACCGGGACTTGTAGTTCGATGTGACTGGACGCCGGTGTTATGACGTCACTCCGCGGAGCACGCTGGGAGTTGTATTGCAGAGTGAACTCAACGCAGGCGGAAGTGTTGCTGTCACGTGACGCCGTCTCCATGGCAGCCGCTATTACTGTGTGTCCCGTATGATCAATAATTCTATAATAAAGACAATGGACGGATTCACTTTATACTGATAGACAATGTGATCAGATGTCTTATGGATCCCACATCGTGTGTGCAAATATCAATCCAGAGTCTATTATTGATCAACTGCTGTATTCTTCTGTATTTTATACATATCATCCAATAATACAAAATAATTACAAATATGATAATTTCCTAGATCAATAATTATATAGAAGGATCAATAATTCATATCTAGGGGCCCAGTACATGGTTGGTGTGCGCTGTGAAGGCAGCGCTGTATTGGAAATAACGCATTGCACTGTACCTATTTTTTTGTTGGTTACAACTTTATTGAGATGTCACAAAGTTCGCAGGTCCAATATGGTGGATGGCGGAGTACTATGAATAACTCCCCTGTTCACATGACAACAGAGTGGAATCATTCAGCGTGTCCCCATTGTTCACACACAAGTCTCCGCCCATTTCTAGACATTGGCAATGCCGCAGCCGTGACAATCGTATCAGCGGGAGATGAGTATTCCGATTGGGTGCGGCTATAGCCAGCGTTCTATCGAGAGGTCTAACTTGTGGAGATCTCCAACTCCTCTCCTTGCACCCAAGAGCACTATTGCGTTCTCTAATTTGCGTTAGTGCACCTGCGTGGTCACCGGTGGCACAAGCGCCGACGCCAGTTGGAGAGCCCGCTGAGGATTGCAAGGCCGCACAGGCGAACTTACGGCAATTGAGGAAGTCGACGAGGCTTGTAAAAAAAAAAAAAAAAAATGCCAGGGCTGGTGCACGCGCACTAGCGCCGTCTTGTCGAAATCTCCAACGGATGCGACGCCACGAGTCGGAGATCTCGACAAGTTGGCCGTTTCAACAGAACGCCGGGACTTAATGCCGCCCAGTGGCCAGGGCTGTGTGAGGAGACCCCCGACAGAGAGACAGGAAGTGAACAAACAGGGGGCAGGACAGAGAGCTTGTGGGAGAGTGGACTGTGTGTTGGGGGCCCCAGAGCCAGGCACTGAGTGGACTGTGTGTTGGGGACCCAGAGCCAGGGACTGAGTGTTGGGGCCCCAGAGCCAGAGTGGACTGAGTGTTGGGGCCCCAGAGCCAGGGACTGAGTGTTGGGGCCCCAGAGCCAGGGACTGAGTGGACTGTGTGTATATCTAACATTGCACATAGAAGTGCGGGGCCTATTCTGGTGCTCCGGCACTCAAAAAGATGTATGACTCTCGTCTCTCTTATATTCCGGCCTCGTCTCTCCAATAATACACTCTATGGTTCATTTGCACATAAAACCGTCCTGGTCTCTCCTCCTTATATTGCAGCCCAGCCAAGCTCCTCCTACACCGCTGATTAATATTCGTGGCTCTCGTCTCTTCAGTAATACACTCTATGGTTTATTTCCACATAAGACCGTCCTGGTCTCTCCTCCTTATATTGCAGCCGAGGCAAGCTCCTCCTACACCGCTGATTAATATCCGTGGCTCTCGTCTCTCCAGTAATACACTCTATGGTTTATTTCCAGATAAAAAGCCCCGCCTTAAAGACAAACCACCCAAGGGGTCCGCAAGGATGAACAAATCCATTCCGGAAAGTAGGGGCTCACCTTCATGCGGGGGAAGGTCTCTCAGGAGTTTAGCAGCCATCTTACCCCCAGACCTTGTGGATGGTCAGAGAACCATGTTTAGGAAGCCTAAGCGTACCTACCCCAGGAGAGAACTGAGCCGACCTTTATCTAGAGCTCTCACACTGGGGCGGGGGGACTTCCTGCCTCCATGATAATATTGTTAGGGGTCTTTGGGAACAGGAGTGCAGGTCAGGCGTTTCTCGGACACCGGCCAGAGCACGCTGTACCTGTATTGGCCAAAAGGTTTTGGGTGACCAAAGTAGAGACTCCAGCAGATGAGGCAAGGTGACCCGGCACCACCAGAGATAACAAGGACTGCGATGACTAGGTAGACCTCCCAGCGATGGGGTACCGGGATTCCAAGTTCCAGATGCCGGTTCCTTCAGAAGACACGGAACAAACGTCCCCGGGAACCTTTAGGGGGGAATGTGAACTGGGGGGCGTCGCGTATTGCAGCAGGACCGTCCCCTCCGTATCTAGAGACACGCACGGAACGCAACAAACTCAAGAGTACGAGGCAAGGCGAGACATGCGAGGGTCAGATGGCCGGAGGGGACCAAAGACACCAAGTGGGCCGCAGGAATGGACCAGAGACCGGCGTTCCCATCTGCAATGTAGGTGCAGCAGCGGGGAGATGCTTCCTTAAAGGAGAACTATGAGGGGGGAGGGGCTTTCCTCTCACCTCATAGTCCTAGCCGACCTGTGACAATGAGACTGTCAGAGGTCGGCTCAGTAGATCGGGAACACATACCGGCGCTCGCTCACTTCTCGATCCAGTCACTGCAGAGAGCCGTGACAGGGGGAGGGGCTGGATTCCCCCCTCCCCGCTCCGATCCTTCAGCGCTGACTGGCGGAACGGACGGGGGAGGGGGCGGGTACAGCTGCCTCTAGATAGGCAGAGCCAGCTGTCACTCACGCAGCTGGGCGGAGCCAGACATGATTGTCGGGATGGCATTACCCTTCACGGGTAGTCACAGATCACAGATGCCGGTCCCTCCCATGTACACCACACGGCACCACGACGACGGACATCGAGGTTCAAAATCACGAGAGACTTATTTTTTTTGGTTTTTTTATTTCTTACTACTAACAAAAAAAAAAAGACAACAAAAGGCTGTTAAAAATACATACAAGAGGATGAGAACACGTGTGGAAGAACATGCCAATTAAAAAATATCTTCATACAGAACTTTGTCCTACACGGAAGTCATATTTACACTCACAATTCAACTACAACGGCAAAAAAAAACGTATCTTCACTGGTTGTCACTCTCCAAGGGACACGCATTCCTCTCAGCTGGACCCGGGGACACGCATTCCTCTCAGCTGGACCCGGGGACACGCATTCCTCTCAGCTGGACCCGGGGACACGCATCCTCTCAGCTGGACCCGGGGACACGCATTCCTCTCAGCTGGACCCGGGGACACGCATCCTCTCAGCTGGACCCGGGGACACGCAT